TGTTTCTCCCCAACACACCTTTTGCATTCCTAACTCCATCTTGGGGTCTGCTTCCTGGAGAACTCACCTGACCCACGGGCACCTGGAAAAGTGACTGCTGTTCACTCAGGACATAAGAGATCTTGAAGAGGAAGGGAGGGAGGAGGAAGGAGAGGAGCCCAAGCTTTGAGTGGGTACAACAAAGGGCTTCCAATCGCCACCTCACCCGTGCTTCTCCTCAACCACCCCAGAGTTGGCCCATGCACCACACTGAAACCAGCGCTAGAAATAAAAGGCAGGCCTGGATTTGGAATTTATGCTTTTATCTTTTGATGTCTTATTAACGGCACTCTCATGAGTCAGGGGCTCGACACTGGTGTAGTCAGGGGCTACAGCAAGCCATTGACCTCAGGCAGCACCCGATGTAGGACCACATGAATTCCAAAGACCACCTTCCATAGGAGTGGCCTTCTGCCAACAGGCCCATTAAGGAAGGGTCTGGAGCCGCTCTGTCTGGGGGTTGGCTTGAGCTAGCCTAGCCTGGAAATCCAAGGTCCGAGGAAACCTGTCATTAACCTGGACTCAGTGTCATCATTGCTCTGAGCTACTCTGTCTAATGTGTCTCCAAACACCTGGTTTGTGCATCACTGGCCTTGGCTTTACAAACCGAGAGTGAATTTTATGGGAAGGTGGTACATAAAATTATGGGCCTATAAATGGCCATTGGAAGCCAGCCAAGTAAAAGGCATAAATTCCAAGTCATATGGTATGAAGAAACTGAGCTGAAATTGCTGTTATTTTCGCTGGCAGGCAAACAAAAATGAACAAAATCCTTATTTTTCTGAGTGAACAAGAATCAGAATGCATTCCCATAGTGACTTCTCATGCCCTGCATTCAAGGGAACGAAATAGAAGGTCTGGTTCACCAACCTCACTTCTAACTGCAGAGATTTGATATGAATACAAATAATAATGGCTTTCTGTGGTATTTCGTTCTGGAAATCCAGTATACAGCATTCTAAAACTTCTCCCATTGTCCCAAGGAGCAGATGGAAGGCAAACGATGTTACAGTCATCTTTGTAGCTGGATAAATTTCACCAGCAAAGGATGACCTGATTGCTACTTTGTACTTTAAAGAACTGGGCTCTTTTTGTGTTCTTTCCTGTTAAATTATCAACTACAACAAAGGAGAATGACTTTATTTAAAAGTTGTACCGAGTCCCTGTGGCCATGAGAGAATGTGGGTGCATCCAGGGCAGGAGGCTTTACTAGTGCAGTTAGAGGTGAGTGAGGTGAGATGAGGTGGTCGGCTGACAGTTAAGGCAATGCAGGGGGTCACCATGTTCCGGGTTTTCGAGAATAGAAAGCCTATTTTATCAATGTCACCAGAGATGCTGGGCTCTTGGGAATTGACTCCAGGTAACCAATCTGCTAAGAGACTGAGGGATAACACAGAACACAAATGTAAGCACTAACTTTGTATAGGGCTGGAGTATTTGTGCCAGCCACTCTGAAGCCTTCTGTCCTGGTGTCCAGACATCTGGGGAGTTGGCTTAGAAACGAGAAGACTGAGTAGATAACGAGGAATTAAAATTGAGGCTGGTGGGGGCGCCTGGGTGGCTCAGTCAGTTAAGCGTCTGACTTCAGCTCGGGTCCTGATCCCAGGGTCCTGGGATTGAGCCCTGCGTGGGGTTCCCTGCTCAGTGGGGAGTCTGCTTGTCCCGCTACCTCTGCCCCTCCCCCTACTCATTTTCTCTCTCTCTCCCTCTCTCAAATAAATAGATAAAATCTTTAAAAAACATTGAGGCTGGTGGATGATCCCAAGGGCTACTCCGTCCAGGTCCCGGTGACTCTGAAGAACCACCCAGCTCTCTCAATAGTATTTATCTCTAAGGAATGAGAGTATTTGTATTTGTCAGAATCAGTGCCTGCTCTCTCCTGGGTAAACACCACCATATTTGGCTTTTATTATGCACATTTTTCTAGTCTATAGGTAGGCTGGTATCATGCCCCCTTAAAAAAGTAGGCTTTCTTTAGAAAGAATACAACACGATGGAATCACGTACAATCATTTACTGATCTGCCTCTCTAAGTTGATGCTGGTGTAATTCTGGAACTTACCAAGACCAGGGACAAGGCATTCTTTTTGATAGTCCTAATTATCTTATCGGTTCTTGAAAGTTTTTAGATGGACATTTCAAAACACCAAGAGGCAGGCAAACACAAGAAGTTTCTTTCCCTATAGTTTCTTTTTTCCATGACCGTATCAAGTAATAATTACAGCAAATCTTGAATAACGCAGGTTTGAACTGTGTGGGTACCCTTACACGGGGATTTTTTGCAATACAGTACATAAATGCATTTTTCTTCCTTATGATTTTTTTAAAAAGATTTTATTTATTTATTTGAGAGAGAGAGCACAAGCGGAGTTGGGGCAGAGGGAGAGGAAGAGGGAGAAGCAGGCTTCCCACTGAGCAGGGAGCCCGATGTGGGGCTTGATCCCAGGACCCCGAGATGTAGGCAGACGCTTAACCAACTGAGCCACCCAGGTGCCCCTCCTTATGATCTTCTTAATAAAATTTTCTTCTCTTTCTTTCTTTCTTCTTTCTTTCTTTCTTACTGTAAGAATATAGTATATAACACATATAATATACAGAACATGTGCTAGCTGACTGTTTATGTTAATGGGTAAGGCTTGTGGTCAGTAGTAGGCTATCAGTAGTTAAGTTTTTAGGGAGTCAAAAATTATATGTGGTTCTTCAACTGTGCGGGGTGTCAGTGCCCCTAACCCTTGAGTTGCTCAAGGGTCAACTGTAATGTTAGCCACTTCGGGATTTTTAGCAATCTGTTGGTGGGACTTTCTCTGTCTTTTTTTTTTTTTTTTTTTTAAAGATTTTATTTATTTATTTGAGAGAGAGAATGAGAGAGAGAGACAGCATGAGAGGGGGGAGGGTCAGAGGGAGAAGCAGACTCCCTGCCGAGCAGGGAGCCCGATGCGGGACTCGATCCTGGGACTCCAGGATCATGACCTGAGCCGAAGGCAGTCGCTTAACCAACTGAGCCACCCAGGCGCCCGGGACTTTCTCTGTCTTTCAAATGTTGGAACTGGGGATGCCCATTTCAAGATGGAGGGCTGGGCAAATGGGGGCAAGCCAGCAGTCAAGCTTGGCCAGCATGACCCAGTGATTTGATTTCATCGGGGGCAGAAATGATGAGAATTGGTGTTTTCTGCTTATGATTTACTCTTCTCATTGGAAACACCGAAGGGCAGTCTTTCTCTCCTTTTTCTCTCATAACATCATTAAGAGAGCAAGTCACCGTTTTGGGAGAAGAAGCTTTATCTCAGGAATTTTAGACTTGTATCTGCAATTCTCTTCCCTTTCGGCAGCACGTCTATATTATATTTGGGGTTGAAACAAGAGTCTCGCAGCACCTTTCCTCATTGAGAAAAGTGTCAGTTTGGGAATCCTTTCTCTCCCAGGCAAAGGAAAAATGGACCCAGTGCCAGGGACCAAAAGTACCCGTGCCTGTTAATCTCTAGATTAACCAATGATTTTCCAGAGCAGCAAGCTGTTCCCGGAGTTCTGGATGCCTCCCAGACTCTTCAGTCGCCCATTTACCCACATGCTCCTGACTTCCTAAGTGCATCCTTGATATGTGAATGTTGCCTTGTGTAACTTGCTGATAGCGATCTTATTTCCCTTAAATGGCAAAGATGGTTGGTCATCAAATTTACATTGTGCTCCCCTATATTTCCCAGCTTCCTTTGGAGTGAAATGGCAGCCATCTGACAAATTCTAGTGAATGAACTGTGTGTGGAAATAGCATGTATCACTTATGGGCCAGGGAAATGAAAAGCTGGTGTGCCTTTCCACCCTCTCTTTCCCAAGCATGGCAAGCCGGGGATTCACATATTATAATGGCAGCATCGCCAGATGGAGGAAGCTTGGACCCCTGAGTCACCAGATGGAGGTGAGCTCTGGCCAGCTTGCATCTGTCTTCGTGTAAGTGAGAAGTGAGCCTGTGTCATGCCAAGCTTTTGAGAGTTTTATTACTGCAGCTTAGCCCACTCTGGGCTGACTAAACCTTATTTCCACGTTCTTGCAAAAAGACACACCATCTTCTCTATGAGCTGATTACAATTATATTAATAGTATGGAGATCTCAGCCTCCAATATCCGAAGTATCAGAATAAGCTAGATGGAGAAACCTTCTGGTTAGACTCCTTTAGGACTCAAGCTAAACAAATAAACAAAAACAAATGAGCACATGCAAACCCAAGTTTTCTGTTCAAATGGTCTTCTCTTCCAAACTACCCAGGACCCAGGAAGTCATGAAGTTTAACAATATAGAGCAGCAGAATTCTGCCATCTACACGATGGGTCAGAGTTGGGCTGAAAGTAATGTTGAGGTGCGTCATGGTGGGGAATGGGAGTGGGGATAGAGGGCACTAGGGAAGACTGTGCATTTGCCAAAGTTTTTTTTTAATTCCTGTCCCTTATCTTCTGACATTTGTTCTTTGGGCACTGGGCTAGATTTGATGATCTGATAGGCAGACAGTGCAGGGGTTTGGGATGCTAGTAATGCACACCCCCTAACACACACACTCACACCCCATTCTTGGGGTGAGATTAGATATCTTGAAAAAAATAACAAACCAATAATCAAGGGAAAAATCAGAAACTTGTTGGACTTCCTTACGTTCATTTTTTTCAGTTCAGTATTGTTTTTATCTAGGTTGACATCTGGAAAGGGGGTTGGATGTGGATGGAGTTTCTGTTACATCTTTCTAAGCTTTGGGCCTCTACAGCTATTCACAGGACCCTGCCCAGATATTTCTTCACAATTATATCTCATAGCTAATTCTTCTCAAATGGCTGCAAACAGGCATTTAATACAAATTAAACTTTTTTTTTTTTTTCAAGAACAGAGGTCATTTATGTTTTGGATAGTTAGGGATGGGTTACATAGAGTTTGTGGCAAAGTCTGATTAGATGGTCACCAAATGGCTTTCCATTTCTTTCTAGGGCATGTAGCTTCCTCACATTTCCCAGAATTCTTCATAGTTAGACGGGGTATGTGTTATACTCTATCTTTGCGCCTGGCCCATCAACAGTTCCCATACTTTCTCTTTCCCTGAGGGATGACCTAATGCAGAGCATCCAGTGGAGGACTTCAAGCCCCCACAGATGTTGAGTCATTATATAGAAGGGACCTGTGTCCTTGAATGTTTGTGTGGAGCAGAGCCTACCTGACGGGCTGCATTGAACTGTGGTACGTCCGAGAAAAAAACCTTTCAAGTGTGAGGCCCCTGAGATCTGAGAGTTGTTTACTGCAGTAATTAATTACCCTGTCTAGTACAAACCACTTAGCTACTCACCATTTCTTTTTCCCTAAGAAATGTGCATTTATGAAGCTATTTAGATGCCCTAAATACCTCCACTAAAGTTCAAGGGTTTGAGGATCACCACAAAGTGCTTGCACTTTTGTGTGGCATTTCCAGATGCATTCTTCCAAAATTAGTGTTATTTCCCCTTTTCTGACAACATGGTGGCAAATTTTTACTTTTTTAATGTAACCTGTTGCACAGTATTGAAATTTATTGTTATAGGTGTAACTCGACAATCTTAGGTAAAAGGGGGGGGGGTTATTCCATATTAGGAAATGGGGGAGGTCATCTTCCAAGATGGCCACCATCAATTCCTCTCCTCCCTGTACATGCATGCTGCTCCACTAGTCAAGGGGTGGAATCTATTTTCCCCTTCCTTGGTATCTGGACTGTGGCCTGTGATTTGCTTTGCCCAACAGATTGTCAAGGATATGACGTTCTGGGACTTCTGAGCCCAGGCCTTGAGAAGAATGGCTGCTTTAATGTCTTCCCTCTTGGAAGCCAACTGCCATTTGAGAGGTCTAACTATCCTGAGACCACCTTGCTATGAGAAAGCCCCAGGTGACCATGTGGAGAGCCCACTTGGGCACCAGAGGTGAGTGAAGGCTTCTTGGCCCTTCCAGCCGGCTCAAATGCCAACTGAATACAACCAAATGGCTCAGAAGAACTACCAGCTAAGCCCAGTCAACTCACAGAATCATGAGGAAAAAAAACCACATCGTTTCTGGTTTAAGCCACTAAGTTTTGGAGTGGCTGGTTACACAGCAACAGATAACTGAAACAGGAGGGAGTTTCGGTGTGGTTTTGACCAGTTAAGGAGAGAATTGTAGTCTCCCATGGGACTGCTCATTGTGTTTTGAGTCACGAAGGTGGAAACTTGGCTTTCAAAGAGATCTGAGAAAGGTTCTTTATGCTCAGGGGCATGTTGTGGCCACTTTCCCATGCTTATACTTGAGCCTTGGCAAATATTTCCCTAACAGAAGTTTTTTCAAGTGAAAGTAATTATTCACTCACTTCTCTGTTCCCTGCCTTGGGCCACGAGCTCCTTCCGGGGTGTGGTCGTATGTCTTGGGCATAGAGCAGGGCCTCCGTAAAGTTGCAGGCTTTAAAGGTTTATTGACTGAGTCAAGGCTGGGTGAGAGGATAAGGAAGCAATGAGGAGGAGCCCTAGCTTTACCCCAATGTCTCACCTAGAGGTCAAAAGAAGTGGCTAAATGAAGAAAGATTCGGTGCATGTGGACAGATGCAGTAAATCGATAAATATACCACTGCGTGTTGCGAAAGGGAATTCACTTGCCACTCAATAGAAAGAGAAAGAAGTTCCTTATCGTGAGGCCAGAAACCACTGTCCGAGGATAAAGATCAATCAAGTTGCATTTCAAGCACTTACTGCTCTTAGTGCCCTTTTCTTGAGTAATGATTTAGCATTCATTACACACAGTGTGATGACCTCCGGGCACAAACCACAGTGGGGTTGGCCCTGAACTTGGAAAAGCAAATGTGAAATGGGGCACAACCTAGACAGAAATAAACCTGGTGGAGAGAAAATACACGGGGGCTACTGCTTACCTGTTTTGCCCTACACTCTGGGCACACTTAGCTTTATTCTGATAGCCAAGTGAAGCTTGTTCAGTTCATCTATTAGTTTATAACAGAGCCAGAGGGGTTCCTTAATCTGGGACTTTGTGAAGATAATAAAAAGATTGGCTGAGAAGAGATGAACCATGCTATGGAAAGAGAACTATATCCATTTTAATATTGTTAAATAAATACTTAACCACAAACTCCAAAGAATACACTGTAGGGTTGTGTTATAATGCCCAGGTACTGCTTTTTAGGGAGCTGATCAGAACTTCTGGTTAATTTGACCAAAGGAGCCAGGTTGGTATACTCGAAATTTACTGATCGTTCTTCCTCCCTCCCTCCCGTCCTTCCCTTATTCCTTTCTTCCACCCATCCATCTATTCACCCACCCATCTATCCACCCACCTTCCCATCCATCCTCCCATCCGTTCACCCTCCCTCCCATCTGTGAAGCTTCTACGGTGTATCAGGCACTGTTCAGGATGCTGGGGAGACATTTTCAAGCAAGACAAAAACAGTCTCTGTTATCTTGATGTTTGTGACCTACATGTGTTTTTTAGAATTGAGTCATTCAAACCAATTTACAGTTGAATTTCTTGCTGGGAAAATAAACTAACTCTCTTTGAAATCCACCAATGAACTGTTTTCTTACCTACAGGATTCTGCTTCAGGAAAAAAGAAATTGTCTACTTACGCAGCTTGAAGAAGCTACCTGCCTAATATCCTACCTCAGTCCCAGTTTTAAAGGTAGGTAACTTTAAAAGAGAAAACTATACCTAATTATCATGTTATAATGGCGTGTCCATGAACTTCATCATTCCCTTAGCTTGTTTTTCCTCCTACTAAAACTTAGGGCCAGACGTGGTTGTAAACACAGTGGGAAAGCGACTACATTGTATTTTTAAGAGGAGCTGCTAATGTATGATTCATGGAATGTGAGAAGAATCAAGCTTGGCTGCAGAATAACGAGTCTGAAGTCAAATTCATCCAATGATTTTGTGATTTAATTCACAGCTTCCGAAGTGTATATATCCATCTCCATATGCACATGGATATTTTTATTTTTTTAAATGATAGGAATATTTTTATTTATTTATTTTAAAGATTTTATTTATTTATTCATGAGAGACAGAGAGAGAGAGGGAGAAGCAGAGGGAGAAGCAGGCTTCCAAAGAGCAGGGAGCCCGATGCGGGACTCGATCCCAGGACTCTGGGATCATGACCTGAGCCGAAGGCAGACGCTTAACCGTCTGAGCCACCCCGGCGCCCCGATAGGAATATTTTTAAAGATTTGGATACTCACCCCTGCAAAGCCGTCCATGACCCCCCCGGCTTTTTAGCCCTTGGAGACTAGCCAGCATGTCATGCAAGTGCGTTTTCATTGCTACTGACTAGCTTCTAGAAATGTGTGGTGGTGTCTATTTCGTCATTGAATCCCTGTCCTCTGGCGCAGCGACGGGAGGCACGATCATCAGATGCAAGGAAATAATTGAATAATGCCCTTTGTGATTTTTCCTATCTTGTGATGACTTCTTTTAATCACAATTTTATCTCCTGATCTTGACATTTCAGCTCTGGTTTCTCTAGATCTGAGGGATCTTTGAAGTTCATTTTAACCCGATTTCCCCTGAGGAAATATATCTCAGTACAAGGCGACTCAGTTATCCCATGTGACTTGCCCCAAGCCCCATAGCCCTCCGGAGACAGTCCTAGTCCACCGGTAACACGCACAGGGAATTTTAATGCACAGTTAATTGGAAGGTTTTTACCAACCTTTGCCCTTTTACTTGCCCAGATAGCACGGTGTGTACCATAGAAAATAAAATTTTAAAAGCTTGCAAAACTAAAAAATAGGTTGTGACTTGTCATATGTTCTTGTGTTGGAGTCTTCATTATTGTACAAGATCAAAAATTAATGAATGAATGCACTTATTTAGTGGTTCATTCTTCTGCCTTAGAAAAGAGTTGGAGGCAGCCTGAAAGAAATGGGAGCTCTCGGGACGCCTGGGTGGCTCATTCGGTTAAGCGTCTGCCTTCGGCTCAGGTCATGATCCCAGAGTCCTGGGATCGAGCCCTGCATCTGGCTCCCTGCTCAGCGGGGAGCTTGCTTCTCCCTCTGCCTGCCACCCCCCCTGCTTGTGCTCTCTCTGAGCATACATAAATAAATAAAAATGGGAGTTTTCTCTGAAACCTGACAATGACCAGTGTGAAGAACAAGGACTTAGCGATAAAGTAGACAATCATTCGCCACGAGTTTCATTCAAGTTGCTTGTTCTTGAGGTTGAAAGTAGACCTCCATATTCAGAAATGTGGTGTGTTCATATTTTTCTGGATCTACCTGTTGCGCGCAGTGAGGCGCACCTGTACGTGGTAATAAGGGAAATGATCCTCGTCAGTTGACCTTGCTCAAAAACATGGTCAACGGAAACTACAAGAAAGGAAAAACTTGCTTCCTTTCTGGGTGGGAGAATAATGAGTCATCATATTCCTGTGATAAATAGGATTATCAATTCATAAACTCTGAGTAATAAGTTTTCACTTGTTAGGAACTAATGACCCATTATTTTGCTAATGAGAAATAGTACCTTCTAGTTCCTGGGACATACAGCTGCCAGATTACACGTGTTGGCATCTGCTGGTCTCTGACCACATCTCTTGAATGTGTTTTGCTTATTCCAACACCGCCTCTAAAATGGAAGAAATACTGGCACCTTCTACCAACAGCCGAGGAGGCTGGTGTCTTCTTCAAGGCAGGTATGAGCTTGGAATGCATGATCTGTTTGGCACAATTCATTCACGATAAGCCACAGTTGGCCTGGTACAGATGGCCGGACCTTTTCAAAATGCAAAAGGTCATCAGAGCCCGGCTCTCCTGAAGCTGAGCTGGGCACAGCCATTCACTGCTGGAAAGGTCCTTCTCTCTGTTCTCTCTGGAGGAAGTGGACTGTGTCACTATTTGTTTGAGGCCTCAGGTTCAGAGATGAAATATTTCATGAGGTTGAGCCCCTGGTCTCTCATCCAAGGAGTTTATTTTGGCCCTTAGAGTACGTGAAAGTCTGTCTTATGAACTGATTGCCTCTTTTTTTTGGCCTATATTTGCCATAAGAAATGAATCATCAAACATAGACAAACCTGACATCATAAAATTCATATTTTTATATTTTTTATTTTTTAAAGATTTTTATTTATTTATTTGAGAGACAGAGAGCACGAGCAGGGAGAGGGGCAGAGGGAGAGTGACAAGAAGACTCCCCACTGAGTGGGGAACCCGACACAGAGCTCAATCCCAGGACCCGAGATCATGACCTGAGCCGAAGGCAGACGCTTCACCAACTGAGCCACCCAGGCACCCCATATTCATACACTTTTAAAAAAGAAAGAAAGAAAAAAAGAGAAATCTTTGTCCATAGATTCTTAGCTAATATTTGTTAAAAGTAGTTTTCTTTCTGTGTAACCTACAGGCTCATTCTTTCACAGCTAGTCACTGTTTGGGGGTTGATGAATGTTTTCAGCTCATGAACCATGTGCAATTTTTTCCCCACGTCCTGCTTCCTGTATTTTACAACCGCATCCGGATATTGGACATGCTGGCTCCGGGTCTCATCTCCAGGCTGGAAATTCCATTAGCACCCTGGTGTGGGAGTTGGTGTGCTAGCTGTGTCTCTTAGACAAATGTAGGCCTGTGGAGTCTTTGTCTAGAAGGCTGGGCAGGAACTTAACGGGTAGAATCTGGAGAGGGGATGGACCGGGGTGAACCGGCAGGAGACCAGAGTTCCAACTCCAGTAATTGCTAACTTTATGACTTTGGACGAGTCACTTAAAACAATCTGGCCCCTACCTTTTCCCCCATAAAGGGAAAAGGTTGGCTGTGTCTTCCAACGGCCCATCAGTTCTACGATTCTGGTTTTTAGACTCGCACCTATCTGGGGTCACCCAGAGTGGAGGGTCTACTTGTCTGGAACTTTGCAGCAGAAATTCACAGTTCCTGCCCCGGTACAGCACTACTCTTCAATTTGGAAGATGTGCGATATTATCATGTTTCCCAAATACCAGTCTTTTCCCTACAAACTTCCGATTTGTGCCACAGCCCTGTCCTACCTATATTTTTATTTACGAGGTGTTTTTTCTTTGAGTTGACCCACTGTCTAAGACTTAAATTTATTTATGGAAACATTGTGTCATTTCACTAAAGGGATACACAGGTTGGTACTGGTCATAGTGGAAACAACTACAATGACCAGGAAGCATTATCCAGGGCTAGCGCCTTTCTAGCTATGGAGAGAGGACTCTGGTGCCTCCCGCTTCTCTGCCTCCCACAGACTGGGAGCAAAGTTGGCTTCCAGCTCACTGCTGAGCATGCACCCCAATTTGGGAGAACTAAACACAGGGTGACCTTGGGGTCCCACTTGGCTCACCACAAGGTCGGCTCAGTGCAGATTCTATTTAACTTCTGCTCACCATTGAGCACAACCCTGACTAATGGGCGATAGAAACATTCTGGTTCTCTAGAAAGACTGTTGGCTCAGGGTCCTAGAGGGGTTCAAATCCTGCCACCAAAGGGGGAAAAGTCCCGTGCGTCTGCTATTTCCATGGTGATGCGTTCTTATGTCTCTGATGAGCATTTCCCTTGTCCCAGAGTCAGGTCTCCCCCCACAACTGAGAGCGCCCCAGAGAGGAGCCCCCACCTCGCCTTCTCTAATGCACGGTGTGACCCCGGGTCGGGTTTGTGCAGGGGCCCCATCCACACCCACGACTGGCACCTCCCTCGGACATTCAAACCCAGTGCCTTCACCTTCAAGGAGTCAGGTGGTGCGAGTCCTACGTGGTGTTGCTGTGGCAGGAGCCTAAACCGCCAACCACCGCTGGGATGAGCTCTATCAACTCAGAGTTTTGAACATGAATTCTTGCTGCCAAAGAACCCACATCCCACGTGAAACTTCTTTCTTTTTTCCCCCAGATGAAACATTAAAAGAAGACAGTGGCTGCCCCGTTGTCTTTCAAGGGCATTTATGAAGCCGCCATCTATGGTTGCTCATCACAAAATGTTATCTGAAGCAAGCAGAGACACAGGCCATGTTCTCCGGGGGTTCTGATGGGAAACAGACTTGCTTGGCGCTTACACCATAGACTGTTCTAGATGCTGTCTCCAAAATGTTTCCTTCTGGTCCACGACTTTTGGTGGTAATGACATTCACACATGGAAAGGACCCAGCCCCTCTTCTTCAACCAAACCCCAAACTTCTGTGGTCTTAGCCCCAGAAAGAAGATCTCTAGAGGAGGTGGCTGGTGGACCAGGCACCCCTGAATCTTCACCCTGGGTTGCTTCTTTCCCCTGGGGTTCTCTCACCCGATTTCCACACTCACCACCATCCCGCTGTCCTTGGAAAATATGCTGGTGCCCAGGGGACATCTGCCCTCCATCTTGGTTCCGCCTGACAGAAGTGAGAAAGGCTTTATGTACTCTGAACATATTTAAGAGAAAAAAGGAAACAAAATAAAGGAAAACACCAGAATTGTAACTTGGAAAAGACTTGACTAAATCCCAAGAGAGCTAAAATGACGTGGATGCAAAAACACATGTGTGATGACTCCTGTCTGAGAAAGCTTCTTTCCACGGCCCAGAGTCTGCAATCATTCTCTGTTGGCCTTGCCTGAAACCCCTGCTCCCTAGTGGATTCCTCCACGGCAGCGCTGCTGACATTCGGGGCTGGATAATTCTTGGCCGCCCCGTGCACTCTAGGATGTTGAACAGCCTCCCTGGCCTCTGGGGTAGTTAGTGTCCGAACTGAATTAAATTGCAGGATACCCAGTCGATGTGGAGAATGGAGAATTGGGTGTTGCTGGAGAAACGACATATGATGTCGTTGGGCCATTGATGGGATCACTAGGACATCCAAAACGAGAGATCTCCTGCTTCTGGTGAGAGTCTATTTATGGTTATGTATCAAAAGGTATAGCGAACCTCGAACAAAGTGTGTCAAGCCTGATGGAACGCTTAGACAATAATAGGATGTTGATGGAGCATCATTATGATGTCATCGAATGTAATTGTGCTCACACAGATGGCAACATTAATTCTCCTGATCTTTCGGATGAATTCGCTATTGCAACAACTGATTAAAATTGCTGGCTTCCCTGGTGGTGTGGATTATGTATCTCTATCACAGAGAATTTCCTGGCAAAATAATACAGTGTTTTTCTTAAAATATTTTAAATGGTTAGACAAACTGGGAGGACGAAACTCCTTTGAGAGTGGCAGTTGTTAGTTAAAGAAATAAGGGACATGGTTGGCATGGAGGGCGGGGAGAAAGTGTCCTTCCCTTGGGTGAGGGTGCTGTCTCCGGAAGAGCCTCTCCAGGCCCAGTGGGCTGAGGTCTTTGGGTCACCTGCACCACACCCTGACGAGTGACACGTTCCTAACACGAGACTCTGTCAAGGTGGTCGGGAACCTGGTTTTGCCCCCTGTTGGCTGGGGATCTTGACTGTGACAGTATGGCCACTCTTATTCCCGGTTTCTGGGGGCTGAGTTTCCTATGGCCTGCTATAACAAATCACCACAAACTTAGTGGCATGAAGCAACACAAATTCATTAACTTACAGTTCTGGAGGCCACAAGCCTGAAAATGGGTCTAAAATCAAGCTGTTGGCAGGGCTGGAAGCTTCTGGAAGCTCTGGAGGAGAAGCCCTTCCTTGCCTTTTCTGCTTTCTTGGCTCATTGGCTCCTTTCCAGCCGGCAAAGACATCACTCCAAAATCTGCTCCCATCGTCACTCTCTTTCTCTGACTCTCCTCCTTTCCTGTTGTAAGGACCCTTGTGATGACCTTGGGCCCATTTGGATAATCCTGGATAATCCCCCATCTCAAGACCCTTAGCTATATCACATCTGCAAAGTCCCCTTTGCCATCTAAGGTAACACCTTCTCAGCTTTCAGGGATTAGGATGTGGACATCTTTGGGGGCCATTACTCTGCCTGCCACACTGCGGACTGCACGGAACAATCCATGATGGAGTTCATTAGCCCAGGACCTCAGGAACGTGAAAAAAGGAAGTGTGGCGCATCGCCAAATGCAGCTATGAAAACTACTCCACGAGGACCTGTTGTTCATCTCCGGGTCTTATTCATCAATGATCTTAACCAGGCAGCTGCCAGAATGGCCTCCATTTTGATCTGGTTTGGATTTGTCTCTCTCTGTCCTCCCACTGCTGCTGAACTTCTCTTCCGAGAGCTCAAGAAGGGGCGTGTGTTTAGAAATAGGCCAGGATGTGTGATTATTCTGCTTCCTTGCGTTCTATAGCGCTCAGAACCCAGAGGTGCTTAACAAGTAGGCATCGTTACAGGTGGTGGTTCTGTTTATAGTGCTTTGGCAGAAGTATTGGTTGGCTGTCCGTAAACCAAAATTGTAGATGTCCAAGGTGAATGCCAAATTCCCGGGGCTCGGGGGCTGACGACGGCTGCCACGGTCATTGCCCTGTGACCAATGCTAGAGACTGGCCAGAAGAGAAGGGACCAAGTTCTGTTGTTACTCCCGGGGATTAGAAAAAGCATGTGTGGTAGAGTAACAAGCACACAAGAGAATGGGCTACAGGGGAGATATATTTAGACCTAGGTGCTCAACCAGGGTTGCATATTGGAATCACCTGGGAAGATTTGTTTATTTATTTAATTTTTGGCTTACGTGGGAAGATTTAACCAACTGAGCCACCCAGGCGCCCTCTTACGTGGGAAGATTTAAACAGTGGCCTTGCGAAGCCTGCACTGCTGGAGTTTTGAAGCTAACCGGTCTGGGCATCCGAGTTTTCAAAGCTCTCCAGGTGATGCCAATGTTCAGCGAGAGCCGAGAACCACTGAGAGGAATTTGAGCTAGGCGGTGCAGAGAGCCCCAGGTGAGGTACTCTCATACTCACAGAAGCCATCTACACGAGGGCCTGTGCCTTCGAATCTCGGCGGTCTTGTTAAAATCCAGGCACTGATTCAGCAGTTCTGGGCTGGGGCCTGAGATTTTTGCATTTCTAGCAAGCTTCTAGATGATGCTAATGGTGCTGGTCCAAGGACCAGAATTTAAGGAGTGAGGATCTCCCAACCCATTTTACAGAGGAGACAGTGGGCGCCCGGGAGCATGGGTGAGTTACCAAAGGTTTGTGGCAGAGTTGGAAACAGGATGGAATCGCCTTCCTCCCCATCCAGTGACCATCCCATGCCACATGTCTGTCTCAATTGAGAAAAAGATTCACCAGTGCTAGCCATCAGCGAAAATAGGGCATCGACTGATTATGTAAACATTATCAAGATTTAGCAACATGAAAAGAGGAAAATCATGATAGTGTGGATCAGCCATAGTAATTGTTTATGAGCAAAATGGGTATAAGTTATTTATTTGCTTAAGGGACCAAACTCTATGTGTATTCAAGTTTTTTATATATATGATTTTATACATATATACATAGATACTTTTTTCCTTTATGAAACACTATTTTATCTATTTAAAAATTTTTTTTAATTTATTCATTTTAGAGAGAGAGAGCACGGGGGGAGGGGCAGGGGGAGAGGGAGAGAATCTCAAGCAGACTCTGAGCTGAGCACAGAGCCTGACGTGGGGCTCGATCTCACGACCCTGAGATCACGACCTGAGCCGAAACTAAGAGTCAGACGCTCAACCGACTGTGCCACCCAGACGCCCCATGACACACTATTTCAATGAGAAGAAACCCTGATGATTGTCAGAGGGCTGAGAGTGAGATGGGCCTCTGAACGTCACACATCAGCTTGGTCTTCCTTCCCCATGGACACGGCTGTTTAAGGCCAGGAGCCCTCAGATGGACACGTGGGTGGCTCTGCTGCTGGGGGTTCTCTGGTTGGTCTGTCACCACCCGCAACACATTCTTTCCTTCCCTTCCCTTTTCCTTCTCCTCTTCTTTTCTCCCCCTTTCCCTCCTCCCTCTCTTCCTTGCTCCCTTCTTTTCACTCATAAACATTGGAGGTGTACCCTTAAAAGTCTTTCTCCTCCAACAACCACCCCACCTAATTTGGTACAAATATTTAGAATGGCTAACTCTGTTTTTTAATCCTTTGTATTTTTCGTAAAATTTTTTTTATTCAAGTATAAATAACATACAATGTTATATTAGTTTTAGGTGTATGGCATATTGATCCCACAATTCTGCACATTATGAAATGCCCACCATGATAGGTGTAGTTACCGTCTGTCCCATACACCAATATTACAATATTATTGATTCTATTCCCTATGCTGTACTTTTCATCTTAGAACTGTTAATTCTTTTTTTTTTAAGATTATATTTATTTAGAGAGAGAGAGGGGCACCTGGGTGGCTCAGTCGTTAAGCATCTGCCTTCGGCTCAGGTCATGATCCCAGGGTCCTGGGATCGAGCCCCACATCGGGCTCCCTGCTCGGTTGGAAGCCTGCTTCTCCCTCTCCCACTCCCCCTGCTTGTGTTCCCTCTTTCGCTGTGTCTCTGTCAAATAAATAAATAAAATCCTTAAAAAAAAAATTAAAAAAATATATATATAGAGAGAGAATGCATGAGGTGGGATGGGGAGGGAAAGGGCAGAGGGCGAGGGAAAATCCCAAGCAGACTCTGCGCTCAGCGCAGAGCCAGATTCGGTGCTTGATCCCATGACCCTGAGATCATGACCTGAGCCGAAATCAGGAGTCGGACACTTAACTGACCGCGCCACCCAGGCGCCCCTAGAACTGTTAATTCTCGAAGCTGGGCCAGTGAAAAGTGAGGCAAAAATCAGTGTTGCCTCCTTGACCCTTTTGCAAATGGCCTCGTGGAAGGAGGCAGGCTGCGCTAAGAGCTTTACATCCTGGGCGAGAACTGGCCCCTCCACCCATTGCCCTTCACCCTTGGACAAGCCACTCAGACCTTTACTAACCCCATGGGTTAGAAGGGGGCGATAAGATTATTTTCTAAGGTTGTTGTAAATGATAATTCAGAGAAGAATGGAAAATTCTTCCCCAAAGGGGCTGCTGTTGTTGTTTGACTAAGGTGGGCTCTGATCAGGACCGCCCCTTAAACAGCGAAAAGACCCAGTCAAGAGCCAAAAGGACTCCATCAGGGAGTAAGTGAAGTAAAAGGAGGACCGTGGCTGGATTTTGTCATCATACGTGCCCCTGAGAGGACCGAGTGGCCTGGCGTGAGACGTACTTGCTCGGCCAGGCCAGTGTCCAAGCTGGCGGGCCCGGTCCGAGCTCCGGTGGGAATAGCATTTCTGCCGCCAGCCCGTGTGCTTGGGACAATACGACTCATGAAAAGCAAAATGAAAACTCACGTTACGTGACAAATCACCGCTCAGAGATGGTGTTTATTCTGCAGAAATGACTCGAGAAGGAGTGATGAAGAGAACGGATCGGATGTGAATAGAACCCTGAAGCCTGTCGTGCCAGGGGCCGCTCTCCTCCATTTCAGTGGCATTTGGGAGGCTGTGCTCCTCCATCTTTTATCTTCCGGTTTGTATTGACTTGAAGCTCGCCCCACAGCTGAAAATAGCGATGGCAATAAAATGTGGGTTAGCCTGAAGATCATAACCCTGAAAGCGGCTCACGACCAAAACGTTTTCTGGTGCACTTTTTGTATTTTTCTTGCATGTCTTGGGTTCGTCTTCTGAAAAGGTGCAGTTTGGATGTTGTCCAGAGGTGTGAGAAGCGCCCAAGGATCGTGAGTGAGGAAATGGATCATGACATTGATTGTGAACCCTGCCGTAGGCATGGCAACAAGGCGAGCTGTGTGGATGATCCCGAGCCACTTGCTTAAGAGCCGCCTGGTGAGCTTGTTACAAATGTACATTCCAGGGCCCTGTCTTTCACCCTTACAACTCAGTGGGACTGGGGTTGGGTCTGGGAAATTGTATTTTGAGAGTTCCCCTGTTGGGTTATTTTCTTTCTTTCTTTCTTTCTTTCTTTCTTTCTTTCTTTCTTTCTTTCTTTCTTTCTTTCTTTCTTTCTTTCTTTCTTTTTAAGATTTTTATTTATTTTTTTGAGAGAGAGTGAGAGCAAGAAAGATCACAGAGAGGGAGAAGCAGACTCACCCCCGAGCAGGAATCCCGACGTGGGACTCGATCCCAGGACCCCAAGATCATGACCTGAGCCGAAGGCAGATGCTTAACTGAGCCACCCAGGCGCCCCTCCCCTGTTGGTTCTATAGCTTAACTAGATTAACCACGTACAAGACCGCATAAGGACGCAGGATCCCCTAAGACTAAGTCCAGGATCTTTGGTGAAATATTATTGATTGGTAATCAAACTAGATCAAGAGGGGCAGTGAAATTTTGGAAAAAAGTTAGTGGTTCTACAGAAAGGAAAACAGCTAGTGATTCCTGACTACTTATTAGGGGCCAGCCACAGTGCTGAGAGCTTTATAGAGTTTAATCCTGGGCATTTATCTACTTGTTTATTTATTTTTAATTTTTTAAAAAAGATTTTATTTATTTATTTGAGAGAGAGAATGAGAAAGAGAGAGCACGAGAGGGGGGAGGGTCAGAGGGAGAAGCAGACTCCCTGCTGAGCAGGGAGCCCAATGTGGGACTCGATCCCGGGACTCCAGGATCATGACCTGAGCTGAAGGCAGTCGCTTAACCAACTGAGCCACCCAGGCGCCCTTGTTTATTTATTTTTAGCAAATGAGGAAACCAACAGTCAAAAAGCTGATGCAACTTGGCCCAAGTCCTACAGTTACAAGTGTTGGAAGTAATGGTTCGATCACATATCTGTGTCACTCCACAGTTCAAAAGGGAGGGGGGAGAGAGAAAGCGGTGCCCCCACCCCCCAAAGACATGCAGTTTTTCTTTGGAAGGAGGTAGATGAATTTATATACAACTACTGCAAGGAACTGACAAAAGGACATAAGATGATTTTTAGTGGCTGTTAAAATTCTCATTATGTTTGGGAGGAGGAATCTTGTTAACTGATCCAGAGAAACTTACTCTCAGGGAAAAACTATAATCAGATCCTAAATATTTGTGTGACTCATTTTGTTTGGTTGACACCGAAGGCCAGTGTATTTTCTTGGAATAGCCTTAAATGTAATAAATTGATGTTTTGAATATAATATTAGCTGCATAATTTTATTCTGCTTTGTTAGCTTATGCTAGCCCAATAAAATCTGACAATGGAACAAAAGACCCTCCTTAGGGTGATATTTTAATTGTCATAAAAATGTCATATAGATTAAGGGGCCAGCTGAGCCTTTATAGTTTCTCAGGGACTAGAGAAATCATTAAAAAAATGCATATGCTATTTCCAAGATAAAATACTGGCCATGATTCCAGCCATAATGTTCTTTTTATGTGAATTTTGCCAAATACAAAGCCATGAATTATATTAATTCCCAGAAATCATCTTCCAAAAAGCTTACATGAAATATTATTTTTTTTTCCTTCCTCCTCTTTCCTCTTTCCTCTCTGCCTGCCCGCACCCCCCCCCCCGCACCGCTTTTTATTATGGGGAATTTTGAATTAATACAAAAGCACACATAATTGTAGAAAAAATCCCGATACCAAAATGTTTATTTCTGTAGCAATTTCTGCCCCTCCGCTGTTGCTACATTTTGAGTCAGACTTTGATTTCTGGCAAGCTTTTCCCTCAGCAGTTGAGACATACATGATGAATGTGTCAGCTATGGTTGCCTCCCTCCTTGGAGTGTCTAGGAGCCCCTCCTTGGCCAGGAGGAAATACACAGAGAATAGAAGACTGGGGTACATGAGAGTCTAGAGTCATTGGCAAACTATAGCTTGCAGGTCCAACCCGGCTGCTACCTGCTTTGGTAAAGAGAGATTTCCCGGAACCCAGCCACCCCCGTTCGCCGACTGTCACCTAGGCTGCCGCCCCGAGACACGGGCAGAGGTGGATGGTTGTGACAGACACCGTATGGCCCGCAAAGTGGAAAATACTTAGGGAAAAATGGTCTATCCCCTTCTTCAGAGGAACTGTTGTTCAGACAAGGGTATTAAATTATATCAGCATCTTTGTTGGTCAGGGTCTAGTCAGAAAAATTGAGCGCCCGCCAGAATGAGAGTTGAATACTAGAAACGGGGACCCAGGCTGAAAGAACATTTACCATCTGGAATTCGCTGGTCATCGCGGCCAAGGGAAAGAGAGCTATCCATGGCTCTTCAAGCTTCTGCCTGCAAGGGACGGACACACATCACATCTGCTCGCATTTTATTGGCCAAGGCGAATCACATGGCTGAGCCTTCAGAGGAGGCACGGAGTGCAATTCTACTATTGCTCGGAATATTTAAGCCCAGCACTCCCGAAATCCACCGTCTGCATGGGATGAGTGCTCAAAACCCAGATGAATCAGTGCCGTAAGCAGACATACACACGCACACATAAAATATTGACTCTTTTCTCCCTAAAGGGATGACAACATTTCTTTTTTTTTTTTTTAAAGATTTTATTTATTTATTTGACAGAGAGATCGAGAGAGAGCACAAGTAGGCAGAGAGGCAGGCAGAGGGAGAGGGAGAAGCAGGCTCTCCGCTGAGCAGGGAGCCCGATGCGGGGCTCGATCCCAGGACCCCGGGATCATGGCCTGAGCTGAAGGCAGACGCTTAACCGACTGAGCCACCCAAGTGCCCGGGATGACAACATTTCTAATATTTTAACTGAGTTGCAATCTTGCACTGTATTCAATACACTGAAGACTTTGCTGAGGAGTTTCTCTCTTAAGACTTCAAATGCCTTTCCTCTTTGTCAATGTTGCATATATAAATCACTGCATTTGCGAAAAGAACAAAAACACACGTCTGTACCTGATTAGAATTCTTTTTGTTTTACCCAGACTATTAAAAGAGACTTAAAAAAAACATGAGTTGTGGAAAGAAACAAAACAATGGCACTTGCATATAGTTGGAGCTTGGAGTAAAAATTCTACGTGTTTTAATTTGCAGGTCCTGCACCAATTACGCTAAGAGGCAGAAGAACTTTCTCTCTGCCAGCAGCTAACTCCTCTCAATTCCCATGAACATTTACTAGAGTCTGTGGCGGCTGAAGTGGCGACAACACGTTTTCGGCATCAGTCTGTCCTTCCTGTGAAAAGCTGTGCTCTTCTGAACATGGTTTGTTCACTTCCCTCCTTTTGGCAACCAATGGTGAAGAGAGGGAAGGTCAGGAAAGATGTAACTATAGATGAGGGGTCATCAAATTAGGGTCCTCAGGCCAAATCTAGCTTACTGCCTTGTTTTGTAAATAAAGTTTTATTAGAACATACCCTAGGACCCAGCAATTGCACTACTGGGTATTTACCCCAAAGACACAGATGTAATGAAAAGAAGGGCCATATGCACCCCAATGTTCATAGCAGCAATGTCCGCAATAGCCAAACTGGAAAGAGCCGAGATGCCCTTCAACAGATGGATAAAGAAGATGTGGTCCATATATACAGTGGAATATTACTCAGCCATCAGAAAGGATGAATACCCAACTCTTACATCAACATGGATGGGCCTGGAGGAGATTATGCTAAGTGAAATAAGTCAAGCAGAGAAAGTCAATTATCATATGGTTTCACTTATTTGTGGAACATGAGGAATAGCATGGAGGACATTAGGAGAAGGAAGGGAAAAATGGGGAGGGAGAATTGGAGGGAGAGATGACCCATGAGAGACTATGGACTCTGAGAAATGAACAGGGTTTTAGAGGGGAGGAGGAAGGGGGGATTGGTCTGCCCGGTGATGGGTATTAAGGAGGGCTCGTACTGCATGGAGCACTGGGTGTTATACGAAAACAACGGATCGTGGATCACCACATCAAAAACCAATGATGTATTGTATGGTGACTAACATAACATAATAAAATTAAAAAAAAAATAAAATAAACAAAATAGATTATACCTTGAAAAAAAAAAAGAACATAGCCGTGTTCCGTGTTCACCACGTACATGGTGTTTATGGTTGTTCTTTGGCGGCACATTTGAGTAGTTGTGACAGACGACTGGCCCCCAAAGCTGAGAATATTTACTGTCTGGTCCTATGCAGACCAAGTTTACTGACCCTGCTTTTACAGTCTTTCTCATCTTCAGAAAAAGGTCTCTACATAAATTATGTGCCCACGTATGAAGTCACGTAAAACCTCTCAACCAGTTACAGAGCACGATGCTATAACACATTAGTCCTATATGGATCTTAGTCATCATTACTTTTGGTAAATTGAATATTTTTCTTCTTGATCTTCCTGTTTTCCACATGACACCTTTTCTTCAGCCCACAGAAAACTCAAAAATGTTCTTGGTTGAGCATTATTCTCTCCATCTTGAAAGGTGTTTCCCTACTGCTTGCATTTTGCTCCCATTTCCTTGATAAATCCTTCTCTGTCCCCTTGTCCCCTCTCTCTTCCACATCATCCTGTAAACATTGGCATTCCCCACTGCCCTGCTTTGAATTTCTTCTCACTTCACCTACCTCACTAAGTGTCAGCCAGTCATTCCTGTGCTGTCGACTGCAAACATCTCAAAAACTCTGCTTCACACCCAGACCTTTCTTCCGAGGTCTAGACCCTCAATTCCAGAATTGTTTCTCCTGGACATCTCCACTTACGGGGGCCTCAAACCGTGCATGTTCATAACTGGACTCATTGCCTTCTCCTCTAAGCCTGGGCTCCCTTCTGTCTGTCCTGTTCATGTATGCCCTTCTCCTGTAGCTAGAAACTCAGGAGTCCACACTGATGTCTCCTCTACCAATTGGCCACCAAGACCCACTGATTCTATCTTCTAAATACCCCCAAATATGTGGCCTCCTGTCCATGTCTGCTGTCACTTCAAACTCTCATCATGTCTTGTCTGAACTGCCTCTAAGTGGCTTCCTGGTGACGTCCATCCTGACTCCACATCACTTGGTACCCTGCACTGACACCAAGCCACCTTCCTCAAGCCAAATTTGATACACAAATATACTTGAAATTCTTCAGTGTGTCCTCATCACCTTTAGGGTTCTGTCCAGACATCTTGGCAAGGAGTTTAGGTGCCGTCATGACATGGCTTTTGCTTAGCTCTCCAGCCCGATCTCTCAACCTCTGGGCTCCTGGCTCAAGCCAGCGCATACCTTTGCCCGTGGTGTCACCTCCGACCTCAGCGCTTTGTCTATCTTGATGCCACTTCCTTCTTTTATTCATCCTTTAACTTTGAGCTCAGGAATCTCCTCCTCCTCTTATCTATACAAGATGATAGATGTTAAGTAAACCTATTGTGATAATCATTTCACAAAATATATAAATCAAACCATCATGCCGAACTCCTTGTACAGTGATGTACGTCAATTATTTCTCAATAAAACTGGAGAAAATATAAATTTCTGTTAGAAATAGTACTGGTGGTGGGGCGCCTGGGTGCCTCAGTCAGTTAAGCATCTGCCTTTGATTTAGGTCATGATCTCAGGGTCCTGGGATCGAGCCCCACATTGGGCTCCTTGCTCAGCGGGAAGTCTGCTCCTCCCTCTCCCTCTGCCCCTCACCTCTGCTCGTTCTCTCTCTCTCTCTCTCTCTCACAAATAAATAAATAAATAAATAAATAAATAAAATCTTAAAAAAAAAAAAGAAATAATACTGGTCGCTAGTTTTCATATCTGTATACCAACCCGGGCTATCAATATGTCCATCTATATAATATACACACCTGTGGCATTATATATAATGTTTTATATATATGTGTGTGTGTGAAATATGTGTGTGTGTGTGTGTGTGATATGTATATATATATCTCACACACACACACACACACACACACGGCCCAAGGAGGTGGCCAGGGAATGTACACCTTTGAGAATTTTTTAAGTTAAAATTTGACTCTAACACTTAAGGTTTCTTTAACATTGAGGACACAAAAATAGTTCAAAAATATTAAACATTTCCCACCGATGATCTGCTTAATTGCTCGTGTGCAAAGATTTCAACTCCGTAGACTGCCCGCCGATTCCGCTTTCCTCCCACTAACCTGCTTTGGTCTCCAACATCTGCTCCCTGTGACTGACCTCCCATCGTGTGGCTCATGGCCTTTGCCTCCCCACCTGGCCCCGACCCTGCGTCCATCATATGGCTTTTAGTCAAAGAGTGGCTCATGCCCTGGTGCTCCCAGACACGCACGTGCGCACCTCCATCTCAGCCCCACAGCCTTCGGTGTGCAAACTGTGCATGTGGCAGGCAGATCTTCTTTTCATCGGCATCAGGTTCAATGCATTTGTTGCATAAAGGTCACTGGAAGATGCCCCGCTCAAAGACTGGTTTCCTGGTCGCTGATATCATCCCCTCTGTTTCCCAGGTTCAATTTGAATCACGTTCAGCCAAGTTGAAATTCTCTTTAACAGTTGGGGCCAGGAGGAATCAGGATGAAGAAACAGACAGTTCTTCAGTTCCCTTTTCTTAAGCAGTAGAATAAATGCCTTCACTGAAATCTGTTGGCTGGTGAGGTGGCCGAAGTAACAATTTGTATTGTATTTGCAATGATAATCATACTCGTAAGAACTGATAATGTTTATTCTGGACATACTGGGACAGGACTTTGACATGGATTATCTCATTAGTTCATCTTTGTATGCTAGTAAAATGGCCAAAACAGCCATTTGAAGGAGAAGAAAGGGAAAACTGGCTGTATCTCTCTCTCTCTCTCTGACCTTTAAAAATATTTTTCAATTTTATAACTTTTTATTTTGAAATAGTTCAAAACTTACAAGAAGTTGGAAAAGTAGCAGAGAGTTCTTGTATATCCTTCACTCAGCTTCCCCAAAGAGTATCTTCCATAAAGATACTGATTCATTGTCACGACATTGTGTGTGTGTGTTTCTATGAAATCTAATCGCATGCGTAGATTCGAGAAGCCATCGAAGTCAGGAAAGGGAATTGTTCCATCACCACAAAGAAACTCCTTCTTGTTACGCCCTAACTACTGCTGACCTGTTCTTCCTCACCATGATTTTGTCACTTCGAGGTGGTTTTATATGCAAGGAATCACATAGCGTGGAATCCTTTGAGATTGGCTTTTTCACGCAGCATACGCTTGAGATCCATCCGAGTCGGGTGTATCAGTATTACTTTCTGCATCCTTTATTAAAAAGAGACTTTTTTTGCAGGGTCCTAGCTGGAGCGTTCAGATTTCTGTCAACAGCTGCTCAGTTCGTCGGCAGGTAACCGGCAGGGTCCCCTTTAGGCAAGGTCAGCCGTCGGGCAAACGGGGGGTCTGGGCGGTTTGTCTTTGCCTCTCACCCAAAGTATGCGATCTTACTTCAGCACCCCGTCTTTTCTTTCCCTCCTTTCCAGCTGCCTCTTGCTTGGTCTTAGGCCCTGAGATGAGCATCTGTGATAAGGACTTAGATGCAGGTTATTTATTTGAGAGGGGATTGCAAGAAGCAGGAGGGAGGAAGGGAGGGTGGGGAAACCAATACAGAGCATGTGAATGAGGGGGTTGTAGCTGTGGCCACCTAGGGCTCAGTCCTACCGGGGACTCCTACAGAATGGTATAGAACGTGCCCCAGAATTGCCATTCTGAGACAGGGGAGGTGCAGGCATTTATCCCCCCATCTCTTCTTAGCTGAGGGTTGTTGTTCCAAGCACACGAACCCCCTACATTTCTGGACGGTACCCGCTCAGGCGGATTAGTGAGCTTGGGCTCTGCAGAGACACTCCCCTCCAAAGCCAAATGGAGAGACACAGCTCAGTGTTGGGGCAAGAGAGCAGCGGTGAGCTGGGGAGCCGGCCGCCACCCAGGCACAAAGTCAGATGGGGGCGAGACTGAGATGTCTCCAGAGCATCCTTGATGGCAAGAACTCTCACGCTGATTTCCACATTCTCTGAGGACCAGCTCAGGACTCTGCAAGAGGCTGTCTTCTTGCAGGTATGGTTACCAGACTATTCTGCTACTCGAGTTGTTCGAGCAGCTAACTTCGATTTTTTTAATTTTTATTTGACAGAGAGAGAGAGAGCACAAGCAGGGGGAGCGGCAGGCAGAGGGAGAGGGAGAAGCAGGCTCTCCACCGAGCAGGGAGCCGGACATGGGGCTCGATCCCAGGACCCCGGGATCACGACCTGAGCCGAAGGCAACCGCTTAACCACCTGAGCCACCCAGGCGTCCCTC